TATTGTGATCATGATCATGATGACGGTGATGATGTTGTTGATGATGCCGAGGATGATGACGAATTGATGGTGGTGCTGACGGTGTTGCTGATGGTGATGACAAAAGTACGGATGATTCTGATGATGATGGTGGTGGTGATGGTGATGGTGATGGTGGTGGTGATGATGATTGTGATGGTGATGGTGATGGTGATGATGGTGATGATGGTGATGGTGATGATGGTCATTGTGATTATGAGGATGCTGATTATGATGATGATGCTGATGATGAGGATGATGATGATGATGCTGATGATGATGATGATGATGATGATGATGCTGATGGTGATGATGATGATGAGTTGACGATGAAACACTAACAAACAGATGGAGGACGGGGAAGTCGAGATGTGGTGAAGGAGATCCCTCAGTGCCGCTTGCCGCGGCCCGGTTTTCCGGCCGCGCTTCAATTGCGTCGCGCCGCGCCGGGTTGTGCAACGCCCGCAGTGCCCAATGGCTCGGGCAGCCGTGCATTTCCAATACCGCTACCATTTCCTTGGGTTCTCCATTGTTCGGCGGAGCAACATCACATCAATGACGCTCTGTCGACGGCAGGTAGCCTGGCAGGGTGTTATTCCTTGGATTCTGTTCAAAGGCGTGTTGTGTTTTCAACATTAACGCGGTGATGGGTTCCCATAGGGCGCACTGCTTTTGCTCTCCCAGCTTTGGGTCTCCAGAGCGGGGCTCTGGTCGCCACGGGTGGACGTGTTTCGAAGTTTTGGTCAGAGCACATCTCGGGAGAGGTCCGAGGAGTCGGTCAGGAGCTGTTACAGCCTGTTGTAGCCCGCCACGGTTCGGCGCGACAGGCCGTCCACGCCCCAATTCCCAAACAGCAGTGGTCCGATCCTTTCCTGGCTTTCCGTCTGCAAGGGATGGCGTGTCGCCGAAGCCGCCGCCGCGACATATATTGGCTTCCGCTGGCTGATACTGGCCTTTGTTAATCACGGCATTTGTTTCATGTCGGACTCTAGAGGCCCCCAGGACCATCAAGCATTTACCTTGGACCAAGAATTACCACTGTGGAACCAGTCGGAAGTTCTGGGGACACAGGTTGAACAACTCTAAACGTCGGATGTTTGCGCACGGGCCGTCTACAAGCTGCTTGGATGTGCTTCTGGGTCGGCTGAATGTGCCCGGGCGACCCGAGGGGTCCGTTCCCGGTTGCCGTCGAGGTTGGAGGGCACTCAACGCCCCTCCCTTTCCGTCCCCCTGTCCCTGCTGGGCCCATCCCCCTCCTTGGGAACCCGAGGACTTTCAACAAGCCTTTTTCCCAGAACGTCGTAGGATAGCGCTGCGAGCGCGCCAATCCAATTTTTTGTTTTACCCGAAGGCGTTGCGCCGAGCCTGGCTGCCTCGGCTTTCTTCGGAGCTGCGTCGATTCAGATTGGACTGAGACCAACGGCTTAAATTGCAAGTGGTCTGCACAGTGCACGATGTTCAGGCGCCGCGCGTAGCTGCAGCCCGCGCTTGGGCGAGCCGCCCAGCAGCGCCGTGTAGCGTGGCACGCCGCATCGCGTCGGTGATGCGGCTCGGCGTGGAGCCCTATTTTCTCCACGCCGACGGCGCCGAAGCGTCGCCGACGTCGCCGATGCGTCGCCGACGAGTCGGCGAAGCGTCGGCGATGCGGCGCGGTCTGCACGGCGACGGAGCGCGTCACTGCGGCCCCCGCCGTGCGACGGCCGCGCGGGGGCCGTGGGCGCCACGCCGCCACCAGGGCAGCGGACTCGAGCCCGGCCCGGTGCCCGGAGGAGGGAGAGGTGGCTCCGAGGGCGGCGGCGTCCAGGCACCCATGGGGGGGCGGTGACGGGGCTCCTCGTGGACAGCTCCACTCTCCGCTCCGTGCTCTCTGGCCTCCTCCTCTCCCCCCCCCCCTCGCTGTCTCCCGTTCTGTCTTTCTTGTCTTTTCATGTTATGTTGTTCTCTCTCTCTCTCTCTTCTCTCTCCTGTTTTTTTTTTTTTTGTTTGTTTTTCTCTCTCTCTCTCCATACCTCTGTCTATCTCTCTCCCTGAAGGACACAGCGCGGCCACAGGTGCAGACCCCCCAGCGCTCCGTTGAAATCCGCATGGGCAGGCTGGACGTGGCCCATCCCAGGGCGCAACGAGTCTGCACCCACGGCACCGCCACGGCGTGCGCCGCTCCTCCGACTCCGCTCCGAGCGGTGAGCACCGCGCGGCCTGCCACTTCGAGGCACCCGACGCGCCCGACTCCGAGGACAGCAGCTGCCTCGTGCCGTGCTTCGCGCCCTCTGCACCGGCTACCACGTCCTGCGCTGCTTTTTTTCAACTCGTCCTTCACGGTAGTTCTTCTTGGAATTCCATTGTTTGATGATTTTGTTCTTTTTGGCCCATATGCGCACGATCTTCCCGATCGCCCCGTTGTTTTTTTCACAATTATTCCAAGGCATGAGTTTCACCTACTCCGTGTCGATCTTCGCGATGTCCGCGATGATCTTCGAGCCATTCGTGCCGAATTCCTACGCCCACCCGCCGGCGAGTGTGACCCTCAACCTCTTCGCGGCGTTCTCCATGCAGACCTTCAGAATCACCGTGCTCCCCCAACTGGAGCCCTATGATGTGACCTTCATGCCGTCTTTCCTGCCAAAACCCCACCACCCGCCAAGCAGCAGGGAGGTCACCAAGCCGTAACTTTAGCTAGCTTCTATGTGCCAAAGCATCACGGCCCTACGAGCCTCCCGCGACTGCCACCAGGCCAAAATTGTGCCCAGCCCCACGTTGACTACCAATGACGCCAGCCAGGGGGGCCACCAGGCCCACACTGCAGCAAAACCGCCCAGCGCGGTTCACTAGGACCCTTTAGCCGGAAGTGCGAAGTCCCCCAACGGAGCGGTGCTGGCACCAGGCCAACACTCCAGCCAGCCTCCGTGACGTCGCCCATGACGAAGTCCGTAGCGACCCTCTGTGCGAGCGTCTGCCGACTCGCAGGGACATCAGCCACGTGGGCCACCAGGCCCACGCTGCAACCAGTCGATCCGCCGTGGTTCAGTGAAACCCTCCCGCCGAATTTCCTACGACCCCCACTGTAGCCCGCACTGTTGCCACCAGGCCAAAACTCCATCCAACCTCCATGTTGTCGCCCATGACCGTCCGACGACCCCCGACGACCGTCCGCCGACCGCCGGAACGAGCGCCGACGACCGACTGTCGACTGCCCGACCTCTGACGACAACGCTCGACGACCGTCATTCCGACCGTCCGCGGACTCTCCAGGGGAGTCAGCCACGTGGGCCACCAGTCTCTCGCTGCAGCCAGTCGATCCGCCGTGGTTCACTGCGATCCTCCCTCCGAGTGTCCGAAGAACCCCTCTGGAACTGCTCAGTGTTGCCACCAGGCCCGCGATGTCGCCTATGACGTAGTACGTAATGACCCTCTGTCTGAGCGTCCACCGCGTTCCAGGAGCACCAGCCATGGACGCCACCAGGCCCACGTTGCAGCGCCAGCCACAGGGGGCACCAGGCCCGCGTGATCAAGTGCCCGCTGAATACCCACAGACCCCACGACGTCCGACGGCCGTCCGCCGACCGTCAGACGACAAACCAAAGCCAGACGACGCCGACACGAACGACGACCACGCGCTGGCCGTCTGCCAGCCGTCCGCCACCCAACGACGACTGCCGACGACCGTCCGCCGACCGCCAGAACGACCGCCGATGACCGACTGTCGACTGTCTGACTTTTGACGACGACGATCGACGACCGTCTGCTGCCCACGCACCAGCGCTCGCCCCCACGTGGCGCCAGCCGCCACGACACAACCCGACCAGACCAGACCAGCAGGCGAATCGCAGCCACCACGGGCCGCCTCCGCCTTTCCGGCCGCACGTTGCAATTGCTACGCAACCTCTGGGCCCGCTCCAAGCGAGCTCTCAAGCTGACCGCTAGCTTACCCGCCGACTCCTGGAGCACCATCTCGGAACCACTGTCAAACATTCTTGGGAGGACCACCGACGACCCTTTTCACGGTCCCCCAGCATTGGACCGCGCCCACATCCGCATGGTGACCTTCCAGCTGTCCACCTGAGCGCCGCTGCGAGCGTCACGCACGTGCACACGTTGTGCTGCGCCGCGCTGACGGACACGCAGAGGCACCCGCGGCAACCACCAGGCTTGCTGCCAGCGTTTATTGTGCGCTGCACGCAGACGAGGCCACCGACGCCCCTCCTTGCCATCGCATACCGCTGCACACCACCGCTCGGCCGCCAGCGACAACGCCAGCACCATCACCCACCCCGTCGGGACCTCCGCCGGGGCCATCAAGGCCCACCATGGCCCCCGCATCGGCCGAAGGGATTGATGCATTGGCCACTGGCCGCCGACATTGGCCGCGTTCCTACCCTCTGCCTCCATCTATCCGCAAAGGGTCCGAGGTGACGGTTACCAATCAGGAGTGTAACCCCATCAACAGCCACCACGGCTCCGTCGTCGGCCGAGCGGGGGGGAACACAACCAGTCTTGGGTGGTCCAGCTGGCCAACGGCAACATTGTCCACCTGCGCACGTCCAGCTTGACAGCTGCCCCCTCTGGCGGGGATGAGCCCTCCGTCGTCCCGCCGCCAGCGGGCAGACCGGCGTCCGACGACCGACTGTCCGACGACTGCCCGACGAACGTCTGCTGACAATACGCCGACACCCGCTGCCGACGGCTGGCGAACGAACGTCGACCGACCGACGCACAAGCCTGACGACCAGGCAGCCACATGCCGACGCCACCCCACTGTGGTTCCTAGCGACCCGCCCGCCGAGTGGCCGACGTGCACCACGGGCATCCCCCAGCAGGGCCACACGGCCCACACGACAGCCAGACCACACGCTGTCTCGCGCACCTCGTCCCGCGAAAGGGTTGGCGTGCTGCTCCTCCTCCCTCGCACGCCATCCCGCGCACCTCGTCCCGCGAAAGGGTTGGCGTGCTGCTCCTCCTCCTCCTCCTCCTCCTCCTCCTCCTCCTCCTCTCCTCCTCCTCCTCCTCCTCCTCCTCCTCCCTCCTCCTCCTCCTCCTCCTCCTCCTCCTCCTCCCCCCCCTCCCGGGCGCGCCACTCGGGTCTCTCCTCCGTGTGCTCGCCTGGCTGGCCACCGCATCCTGTGACCTGGCCACTCTCCGCGTGCTGCTCCTCCCCGCAGCGCGCTGCTGCACTTGCAGCGGCGACGCCCTCCTCCTCCTCCTCCTCCTCTCCTCCTCCTCCTCCTCCTCCTCCCTCTCCTCCCTCCTCCCTCCTCCGTCACCCGCTGCGGGCTTCGCTCTTCGCTCCCGCCCCTCGGGCTGGCACGCCAACGGGCGCAGCCGCAGGGCGCAGGCCGGATCAGTGGCTTCCGTCTTTGCTGCGGGGGAGGCGGAGGAGGGGGAGGCGAGAGGAGGAGGAGGAGGAGAGGAGGAGGAGGAGGAGGCAGAGGAGGAGAGGAGGAGGAGGAGGAGGAGGAGGAGGAGGAATAATTAGGCGGAGGCCACCAGGCCGTCTGGCCGTTTCGCCAGCGGCGGCGACTTCGCCGTACGCCGGCCCCCCCCCCCGCGGCCCCCGACGGCCGCCGTTCTCACCAGGCCGTCGCGCAATCCCCTTTTGGGCGCCCGCCGCCAGCCTGATCCACCCACGTCGGTTACCGACCCCGACCCTCGGACCCCGGGGGCCGCAGAAGAAGGCCCCTCCCAGTGCCTCAAGCTGGGCGCGCGAGCGCTGCGCTCCCTGCCGTGCGCCGTGCCTGGGGCCCCGCGACTGTCTTTGGCATACGGCTTCTATGCCCTCACCTCCTGCCTTAACGGCACTCTCGGCGCCAACCATGGCGCCATGGGCGTGATGGTCACGCATGCCTTCTTCCGACGCCTCACCATGGAAGCGGACGACACTCATCGCCGACGCTTGTTCTGGCTTGGTGCCTTCAACTACCGTTGGGGCACGACGTGCCACGACGACGTCTTCGTCCGACCTGCACTCCGACGACGTATGTAGACTGAACGACGGTTCACTGCCTCTTGGGGATACCACCCCCCTGTTTCATGCTGCCTCCCACGCCGCTGCCATGAACACCGTCTCCCACTACGCCCTTCTGCCTCTTTCGGGTGTGTGCTACCATGTGCGTTGCCTGCGTAGGGTCAGGACCAGCCCACACGGGATATGGCTTGCATCGTCGCGTGATGGCCCGAAGGATACGCCCCGTGTGCAGGCTGCGACCAGGGGCCCGGCTTCATTTCGCAATAAGGCCTTCTCACTTTTGCCGCACTCGGCCCCTTTTTGGGGGTGAAGACCCCTTCGTTCGCCGAGGGGTGGCAGGGCCCCTGCGCCTCCCCTGCTTCTTCCGGCCTCGCTGGCGGTGCCGTCCGGTGCCGCCGGCGTGGGGCCCGGCGGAGCCAGGGGCGGCCTTGCTTGCACGGCCCGCTGGCTCTCGGGTCCTGTCGCCCTTACGTTCGCGCGTGGAGGCCGTTGCACCCTGGGCCATTTGGATTTGTGTTCGCCCCATTTTGCCGCACGCCGCGCGAACACCCGGCAACTTGTTCCGCCGAGGGGGGTGCTCCCAGGCGGCGCCTTCTTTTTTCAGGGCTCCGTGGCGCGCGCGCCAAAGCGCACTTAAAGCTCGGGTCTCCTCTGTTCATGGGGGTGCAGGAGGGGCGCGTCTCGCCCTTACCACCACATGTCGGTTCTGGTTTCCAGTCGAGGTCTTTTCGACCGCGCCGGGGGCGAGGCCAACGCCACCCCAGCCATTCACATGCGGCGCCTCCCGCCAGAATGGGCTGCCCAGAGGCGCTAGTACCCGCTGGGCCCAGACCCTCGTGTCCGAATTGTTACGATCTCTACCTATCTCTCCCCTCCTCCTCCTCCTCCTCCTCCTCCTCATCCTCATCCTCATCCTCCTCCTCCCCCTCCCCCTCCTCCTCCCCTCCTACATACGTATATCTATATGATACCAGAGAAAAGCTCAATCATAGTCTTTTCAGGGCTATAGGGCTATGGGGCTACTGGGCTGTGGGGCTGTGGGGCTATGGGGCTATAGGGCTAGGGGGTATCGGGCTGCAGGGCCATAGGACTGTAGGTCTATAGTTTTATAGGGCTGTATGGCTATAGGGCCATTGGGCTATTAGGCTATAGGGCTATGGGGCTCTGAGGCTCTGGGGCTATGAGGCTATAGGGCCATAGGGCCATAGGGCTATAGGGCTATAGGGCCATAGGGCTGTAGTGCCATAGGGCCATAGGGCTATAATGCTATAGGGCTATAGGGTTATGGGGCTCTAGGGCTATAGGGCTATAGGGCCATAGGGCTCTAGGGCTATAGGGCCATATGGCTAGAAGGCTGTAGGGCTATAGGGCTATAGGGCTATGGGGCTACAGGGCTATTGGGCTATTGGGCTATGGGGCTATGGGGCTATAGGGCCATGGGTCTATAGGGCTATAGGGCTATGAGGCTGTAAGGCACCCTGGCACCCGGGCGGGCCGCGGAAATCGGTGACAAACCTCGCCTAACCATACGAATCCGCTAGGACCCCTACAGAGGCAAGCTCTGATTGGGGAATATTCACGCACTCCTGTCTGCATTGTGCCATCGGGCGGGGGACGCCTGGAAGAACGGCCCCCCCCCCCTCTGCAACGAGTCTCAACCTTCCTGGGCCTCCGAGGCGCCCTTGCCAGGTGTCTTCTCGGCCGTCCGGGCCTCCCGGACGCTCCTGCCAGGCTTAGACAGCGGACCAAAGCGGTCGGGAGGGGGCGCCCAAGCGGCTGCACGGGAGCCCCAAGGTGAAACCCACGATACGCCCCCAGAGTGACCCAAATGAGACCCCAAGAGGTTCCCAAAGGCCCAACTTTTTGATGTCCCGAAGTTTCTGTATGGTTGAGGGGCGTCCGCTTCTTCGGCCTTCTGGGTGCTCGAGGCGGCCGAAGAGGCTTCCAAGATTTCTCCCAAATGGGTCAAACATGATTCAAGATAGCTCCAGAGAGCCCCAAGACGGCCCAACGGCCCCAAGACGGCCCCAAGAAAATCGTAAGACCCAGGATTGCCCCAAGTCGACCATCAAAGTTCTCCCTTTCCGCGCCAGGACCCAGTCGCTGAGGGGAACCGCGGTTGGCAGCAAGATGGCCCCAATAAACCTTAGAGGCTCCCGAAAGACTTTCTGAGGCCTCCAGACTCCTGAGGCCTTCAAGAAGCCCCCAAGAAGCCTTCGACGGCTCTGCAGAGGCACCCCCAGGATGAGCGATGAGCGTCCACCAACAACATCTGATAAAGCTGACGGGGGTGGGTTCACGGGAAGGGCGAGAACGAGGAAGAGTACGGAAGTAGAGGAAAGGTAGAACGAGGAAGTGGAAAACAATTCCGAGAGCGAAGACATACTTTTTGTATGCTTGTTTTCTTGTTCTGTCATTTCCCTCTCTCTCTCTCTTTCTCTCCTCTCGCATCCCGTCTGTGTGCGAAACTTGAAGGACCAAGGTGGCGCGACGCGCCCATAGTCTTCCACACGCAAAGTATATTCACACATGCACTCATCGCCCCGTCCCATCGGTTCACTCATGTCTGTCCCTCTCTCTCTCTCTCACTTTTCTCTTTTCCTCTCGCTCTCTGTCTCTTGCTCAGTATCCATATCTCTGTCGCAGTATTCTCTCAGCCTCGCCCTCGCTCTTTCTTTGTTTCTTTCTTTCTCACTCTCTCTCTCTTTCTCCCGCTCGCCCGCTTTCTCTCTCTCTCTCTCGCTTTATTTTTGCTTGCTTGTTTGCTCGCTCTCCCTCTCTCACTCTCTCCCTCTACCTATCTCTTTTTTTTTTTTCTCTCTCTCTCTCTCTTTCTCCTCTCCTCTACCCCTCTTCCTCTTCCACTCGTCGGCGGCGTTCATTTGAATCGCCGCCGTTCGCATCTAGCTCTTCTGGCTGGCACGGGCTGGCATGAGCTTCGTGCCTTGCCGCCTTGCTGGCTGGAACAGCCGCAGTGCGCTCCGATTCCGTCTGCGGCCACCTGTGCCGAATGCGCTCTCCGTCTGCCGCCCTGGAAGCCCCCGGGGTGGGAGCCGGCGGGGGGTCTGCGGTGGCCAAGTATCTGTGCCGGCCAGCAGGAAGGGCGGGCCAGGCTCGAGGTGCTGGTTTCGAGAAGGTTTCTGCCCTCTTCGGCATCCTGTGGCCGTTTTCGTTTTTGGCCCCCCGGGACCGTACAACGTTGGTCCGGGTGTGCAAAGCTGCACCAGATGCACCCGTGGAGGGGTCTGGGGACCAAAGTTGAGCGGATTCGCTTTCATCGCCCCTTCTTGACAGACTGTCCAGGGGCGTATCGAAGTCAGACCCTCCGGCCGCCTCCAACCCCAAGGCCCGCTCTGTCTGGCACGAGGCTCTGACCGTTGCACGGCTTCTATCTGCACCTATTGCCGAGTCAATCGGGGGACGCCGACTGGCCACCTCACCGATGCTGGCCAGGCCCATGCTGTGCCCAGAATCGGTGTATGCGCCCTCATGGCTCTGCTGGGGAGCACTCACACCGATCCTGGAGCCAGGATCGGAGTGGCCAGGACCGGTGAGGTTGTGTGTTGATGTCCCTGGAGTTAAGGTCTCTTCGCGCATCATCGGTGTGCCGCGTTCTGTAACGTTTCGGGCTGCAAGCCGACAGCCCCCCCAGGTAGTACCGGCTAGCCTCAACTGACCTCCCCAGGTAATTGGTCCCGCCCGGCCTCAACAGGCCCTCCGAGTAGTCCAGGGCGGTCTCAACAACCCAGTCCTGGGGCGCGGGGCGCTACAAGGCGCCGCTGGAGGCGGCGCCACATTGTTGAGACCGTCCTGGACTAGAACCTGCTGGATTAAAAAGTGCGGACCCCGTTTGAAGACTTTGACGCACCCAGACCCTCTTACGCGCAGATCCACTCACCATTAAGCGGCAGAATCAGACTCACTCATATCCGTGCTTGCTCGCGCGCAGACTGATGGTTGCGCAGCCACTCATATCCATACTGGCTCATGCAAGAACTCTGACGTTTCCACATCCACTCGCGCTCATACCCCTTTCTACTCAGCCGCTGGCCGTAACCGGATTTGCTCGCGTACACACGCCTTCTGCATGATCAGACACCACTCATGCCTAAATACTCATACTGAAGTTCGCTCGCGTTCAGACGCACGCTCAATCAGATACACCCCCAAAGTTCACTCACGCCCAAACCCGCACTTAGCCAGGCTCCCTCATATCCAGACTGATTCGAGTTCAGATCCAACCCACTCTCGACCCGCTCCGGGGCCCACTCGCGCTGAGTCACTCAGGCTTCCCCCAGGGTGGGAACCGCCGAGGGCGCGCACGGACCCCCACAAGGACCTCCAACCGCTGGGGACCCCGCCGCCTGTCCTTGCCGCTGAGGCCGTGGCGTTGGTGATCCCGAGTTGCTGAAGGCCCCATGAGGGAGGGGTCTTGACGCGCCCCTCGGCGGGTTTCTCGTTGGACAAAAGAACGCAACATCAAAACATCCAACATGTGCTTCGCCGCGCAGGTGCGCTTTCTTTGGGGAAGGCGCATCGCTGACAGCGACGCGGGGAACGAAGATCCGACATCCAAGATCGAGGAACCAGGATCCTCGTTCTATTCTCGACGCTGGACCCTCGAACCTGAAACCTCGAAATGCACAACCTGGAGTATCGAAAATCATGAGTCGATTGAAGATCCAAGATCCGGATGTTCCATCTTCGATCGCCCCCGACTCTGGGTGTTGTTCTACGTTCGCCCCTGACCCCGCAGTCCTCAATCGATCTTGGATCGGCCTCGCGGCCCCAGCGCCGCCTGACGAGGGCCCCTCGAATCCAATGACCGAAAGAGCGACCATCCCCTGTGCACGACTGTCGGGGCCAAGTTCAGACGGGCTGGGCGAGGCGACAACCTGCGGAATCCAGCTGACCTTGACAAGCTGCAATGAGAAGCACATCGCATGTCAGACGGCAGCGATGGACAAGAATAGGCGGATCGGGAAGAGGGAGTCCGCAGTGTCGGCGCGTTGGTACACGCGCGAACTGAACTGAGATGCGCGGCATCTGAATTTTCAGGCGACATCAGATGGGGCGATACGTGTGGCTGCGAGGCAGTCCCAAGCGAAATCGCCACTTTCTGGCCGCATGCATCGGGTCCACAAACGTGGCTGTCAGGATGACCCAAGCGAAATCACCATTCTCCGGTGGCTGGACACGGAACCGGAGAGTTTTTGTCCGAGGAAGTCCTAGGCGAAATCGCCATTTTCCGGTTGTCAGAGAAATTCTCCGGTTGCTCCGAGAAGCAACCAGAGAGTTTTGTTGGAGGAAGTATTTGGCGGAATCGCGATTCTCCAGTCTTCACCCCATTTGGTGGTTATGATATTATTAAAGGCGAGGATGGAGGAACCGGAGAATCGCGACCCCGCCAAATTTTGTCCTCCAAAACACTTTTTGGTCGCCTTCCTGAGCGACTGGAGAACCCCTGGGCTGGTTTTTGCAACATTGTACCGGGGCCCCGCGGCCCAGCGGGATCATAGTGGCACATATTGCGCGACCTTTCCAGTCCGCTCTTTTTAATCCAGCGGGTTGTAGGGGGCCTGTTGAGGCAAGCCGGGACTATTCGGGGGGCCTGTTGGGACCAGCCAAGATTACCCGTCGGTCGTTGAAAGTAGGTATTTTTGGATGCCCAAGTCCTAATCTACTTTAGGTGGTATTCCATCCGCGATCGTCCTCAGGGGGTGGGCGGAAGCCCAATCTACTTTTAACGCCTTCCTACTTCATGATTCTACCCACCCCACTTCTTTCGACCGACGTGTACCTGAGAGTGGGCTGTCAGGGCGCAACTCGAAGCCTTACAATGCTCTGTTGCTTATTCAGTCAGAGGCGGAGTGGTTCGTTTCTGTCGCATTTCGTTGTGCAGGCGCCGGGCGTTCGGTTCCAGCGATGCTCCTGCTTCGAGCCGAGCTGTGCGCGGGCGTTTCTCCATACGAATGCCAGCGGCCAAGCATACAGTCGAGTTTGGTTAGCAAGTCAATCTTGCCAAATCAACGGTGCCCTTGTGTCCTGTGTTTCGCGACCCATGCATGCCTTCTACGCTCATATGGCAATGTGGCCCTTGGAGGGGTCTCGTGTCCTCGCGCGTGTCCTCTCCAATCAAGCTCGACTGCACGCCACCAGTGCCTCCTCTCCACTCTACTCTCCAGGGAAAGAAGGTGGGGTGAAGAGGGTGGGCGGGGAGAGGTGGGGAGGCAGCCCTGCGCAACCAAACCAAAAAGGATAGCCACCCCCAGTCTCGGTTCGGGAGTTCGCCCTCCAAGGAAGTCCCTGACCAAGCCTGTGTCCCCCTCACCCACGTTGGCAGGGCTTCTGTAGAGGCACCCGTGGTTCACATGTTTTTGGGCCCAGTGCGAGCAGATCGCGAGCTGGCGCTTGCTGGAGAAGCCAGGAGGTACCCGTGCCGCTGCTCCCCGGACTCCTCCCAGGGTGCTTTCTGATTTGATCGAGGCGACTCGAGTCGTGGCGACGAGGGCCTCCCGGTAGGCCCAGAAAGGGGAAAACGAGGGAAGGGTAGCGCCATCGGCACCTTCTCCTCTAAGCGTTTGCTGGTCAGCCGTCGTTGGATCACTTCATCAAGAGACGCCAGCCGTGTACCAGGGCTCGAGATAAACGGTGTTCTGGCAAATTCGTTGACCGTTGTCGTTTTGATTTTGTCCAGTAGTACGGCCAGTGCGAAGGAGAGAGCGTCGGTCCGTGGGAGGGTCGATGGAAACCTCTACATATGGCAAAGGCTGCAATATGAGCTACATTTTTGCGGATGCCAGAGTGCGGCCATTGCTGCGGCGAGAGCGTCGCTGTATTGGGTGGGCACTCAATTCACATTCTGAAGCGTGGCAAACGCTTCAGCGGGAACACCACTTTCTGCTGTTGCAAGAGTGCGTCTAGCGCCGCCGTCAGAGCGTCGTTCCGTCAGACGGAGGCCGTCACGTGTGACACCTCGAGTCCCCAGGCTTGGGAGAGCCGCGATGGGGATGATGATGATTATGATGCTGTTGCTGATGATGATGATGGTCATGATGATGCTGCTGCTGATGATGATCATGATGATGCTGATGCTGATGATGCTGATAGATAGCGCGACGGTGGTCATGCTGGCGATGATGGTGATGATGCTGACGGTAATGAGGACGACGACGACGGTGATGATATTGATGGTGACGATGATGCCGATGCTGAAGAAGAAATATGACGATGACGCTGTTGATGATGATGACGATGATGATACTGATGATGACGATGATGATGATGATGATCATGATGCTGCTGGTCCGGCTGCTGATGATGATGCTGATGGTGTTGATTGTGATGATGATGAAGCCGACGCTCGTGATGACGATGCTGTTGATGAGAATGCGGATGCGGATGCTGATGACTATTTTGCTGACGAAGATGCTAACGCTCACGACGACGACGATGCTGCTGCTGCTGATGATGATGATGATGATGATGATGATGAGTATGGTAGTGGTGGTGATGGTGCTGCAGAAGACGATTACGGTGATGACCTCGATGATGATGGCGATGTTGATGTTGATGACGATGACGACGACGACCACGTTGTTGTGGTTGCTGATGGTGGCGATGATGATGGTGGCGAACTTGACGATGACGGTGGTGATGATGCTGATGATGATGATGATGAAGATGATGATGGTGGTGGTGGTGGTGATGGTGGCGATGTTGATTATGTTGTTGGTGATGGCGATGATTGTGATGACGAGTGTTGCACTTATTTGGCGATGACGGTGGTGGTGTTGATGATGCTGGTGATGGTGATGATGAGAAGGAGGAGGAGGAGGAGGAGCAGGAGGAGGAGGAGGAAGGCACTCGCATGTGGCACCTTGCGTATTCACTATTTGAGGAGCTCACATGGAGCTCGGCTGGGCCGTCTTGTGGCTGCCTTGGCCTCCCGTGAGGCAGTCCTGGGCTTCCCTTGGGGCCCTCTTGGGCCGTATCGGGACCATCTTGGGACTCTCTTGCACCGTCTTGGGGCCCTCTTTGCCGTATGGTGGGTGTTTGGGGACCGTCTTGGCGTCGATTTGGGCCGTCGCAGGGCCTTCTAATGCCGTCTTGGGTCCCACGGGGGGTTTTCTTGGGCCGTCCCGTGGCTTTCTTGCATGCCTCGTGGGCCATCTCAGGGCCCTCTGGGCCGTTTTGGGGCCATCGTGAAGGCTTCTTGGGCCGTTTCGAGCTGACGGAAGCCCGACAAAAAGGGGAGCATGCGAAACTCACTCAAGCACTTCACGTGAAGCAATGATTGCGGTTTCTTCGGGCGCTATTGGAGAATCCTGGTGTGACCCCTTTTCCGCTCTCCTTGGAGGCATCTTAGGACGTATGGCTTCGGCCGTGCTCCACGCAGCGGGGAGGCCTCCTCCGCCGCGCCCGCCCTCGCGCGCGCGCGCGGGAGGACGAGCCGGCATTGTGGCGCCCGATCATAGGGAGCGCCTTCGCCTCGCGCGGAAAAGCTCTGGGCAGGGGGCGAAGTTTCAAGCAATAACGAAGCGTCTTGGCTCGCTTAAAGACCAACGCAAGGATGTTCTAAGAACCGTTTGTGGTTTCTTGTTCTTAGATAATTATGGATGAGACTGTCTCGTTCTATGGCATCGGCCTTATGTCCCAAGACTATTAGTTGATTATTCCATCATTCGCTTATTCTAAGAACTTGTCGTGGTAGGCCTAGACGAATGCCGGTACGGTCGGCCACTGCTCAAGGAAGGGGGTGATCGCCGATCGCCGAAGCGCCGTGTTAAGAGGAATGAGCATCACCATCATCCTGCGGCACGCTGCGTCCGCGATGCCACGGGCCATTGAGTTCTGTGATTTCCCATGGTTCCCCGGAAACGGACGTAGAACCCCGCCCTTGCGCATCAGAGAGAGGGGGTTCGTCGTCTCACATACGTCGCTCCAAAATGTTGCACCCAAACGTCTCCCCCAAACGTCGCCCCCCAAACGTCGCCCCCAAGCGTCGCCCCCCACACGTCGCCCGCAAATGTCGCCCCCACGCGTCGCCCCCAGAGGCCGACCTCCCGCACGCGCAGGGAGAAAGTATGACGGTTCGGGCCCCCTGATTTTGATACGGTCGGACCGAGGTATCGGATCGAGGTCGGCTCGGGGAGGGTACCCTAAGGTTCTTCGTGTTTGTTGGATGTTCTTGTGCATCCTGGGGAGGGGGTGCCCTTGGATGTTCTGTACGGTTTGGCCGACGGAGGGTCTCATGTTCTTGAAGGATGTTCTCCTGGCCTGTGTCCGACTGTAAGCACATCATTGCACCTTCCCTGGGCGATTGCGACGAGTTCCCTGGACCTCCACCTGCCGCCGCCGCGCGGCACCTGCCTCGTCGCGGAGGAGGAGGGGGGAAGGATCGCGTCAGATGATGGCGTTCCGACAGGGTGAGCAAGTATCGTAACCGTACGCTGCCATCCCTGAATTGTGTTGTTGTCTTCTCGTTTCAGGGAAGGGATTTTGTGCAGGGTTGGGCGTGCGTCGACCGACGCCGTTTTGGCTCAAAGATGATTGCCTTTTCGTGAAAAAAGCTCCTGCTAGATATGGTAGCGGAGTCCGTGGTTTGCGCCACGGGTGCAGAGATGGCGGCGGCAGCTGCATCTGCCCCACCAGACTCAGGAACCAACGATCCTTGTTACGATGTGCCGTGGCTTGAAGTACGAGAAGCCTGGTACAACCTAGGCATTAACTGGTTCGCGAAGCTGTGGAACGCAGGTTACGAGAACGGGGACTTCAGGTATGTGAGCACGGCGCTCCAGAGCCAACCACGAAGGCATGGAAGTATTCTAGCGCGGTGCCGCACAGGGCACCAGGACAGCTGCCAACGACGAAGCGTTCACAATGGTTCAGATGGACTATAGCATGAATGCTCTTTTGGTCTCAGCTGTTATCAATCGCAGCATGTGCTGCGAGGAGCAGTTCAATAGCTTTAACGAGTATGCGAGTGAGCAATTCCAGCAGAAAGCGAACACTTCGGAGCATGTTGCCAAGATCGCTAGGGCAGTGCAGTCCGCAGGAAAAACCAGGGCAGGCGGAGGTGGAAACAAGCCCGTGAGTGAATACAAGGCTGTTCGACAGTTCGAGACACTCTCAGGTGACAGGGCCAAATTCAGAGAATGGCGCGAAAAACTGTTGAACGCACCCGCCCAGGTGAAACACGGTTACCGGAAAACGCTGCAGAATTGTTGACGTTTCGCGTATCCTCACCAGTCAGCCGCCTCCCTCCATCTCCCATACCTGACATTGCGGCTGTCAGCCGCCGTCTCCCCCCCTGCCGCGGCCACGCCTCACGGCCGCTCCGGCCTCGTGCCTAATACCGCCCCGCGAGCGCCCTGCGGGGGTGCCGGCCCTCCCCTGGCCCCCCTGCTCGCTCATTCGGGCCTCTCGCGACGTTGCGCCCTCGGCGCCATGTCGCCCCCCACGGCGCCCGCCCCCGCGCCGCGGGACCCCTCAGCCCCCCCCCGTCGTCCCCTGCTCGAGACCACTGGGCCTGCTGGGGCTTGCTTGCTGGGGCTGCGCGCGCCGCCTCCGCTTGCCCCTTTGCTCCTCGTCGCAGCCGCCGCGGACCACGCCACGCAGCTACCAGCACCACTACGCTGCCACCGGCCCCCCCGGGCGATGTTGATATTCAGGATTGTCGCAGTCGACGCCGGCGGCACCGCTCTGGCGCGCGAGGCCACAGGGTACCCCCGCGGCCCTTCGCGCCCTGGCCAACTTCTTCGGTGAGTCCGCACGCCCCGTTGATAGGCTCTGCAGAGGAGGCACCCTCGCACTGCGTTGGTCTCTCATGGTTCCCCCCGCCGCCCCAGCTTTGTGCATGAGGCCGTTGGGGAGCCCCCCTGGCCCTGGTCGCCGGGCTGCAATTGTTCCCCTCTCCGCGGCCACTTTGGGCGCCCTGAGGATGACCTGCATGCCCCTTCCATTCGGGGTGCCCCTGGGCTCTCGGGCCTGCGACTCGCCCGTGGTCGCCACTCCTGCCCGCCCCTCAATTGGCGATCCGGAACTCCTCCGTTGCGCGTCTGCACGCCCGTTCGTCGTCCTCGTGTACGTGGACTTCATGAATTTCGCCATTTTGGTGCTGCACGTCGACCTGTGACTCCGCTAGGCCCCCGCTTGTGCCGTAGCGTAACTCGCTCCTGTGCGCTCTTGTGCGGAATGTAGTCCGCTTCTTGTTAGCCGCGTTTCTTGACGGCGCCTGGCTTTCTCCTGCGCGCTCGCGAACGGAAATGTATCCTCACCAGCCCGTCCAGAAACAATGCCCAGGAACATTTGGGTGGCCAGGGAAGTGTAGGAGCAAGATCTGGGTGCAGCCGTTATCTGTGATCTGTCGAGTATGGAGGAGGATGGAGGAGCACACGAGGGAGGAGGATATGGATATAGAAAGAGAAAGGATTGGCATATGAGCAACATGAGGAGGAGGAGGGCGGCGAGCAGAAAACGGGAAGCATCTTGGATGCCCAGCGGTGTCCGTGGAGGCTTCTTAGGCAGTCATGGGTGCTTCGTGGTGTTTAAGTAAGAAGACGCGGAACAAAGTAATCATATCCCCAGAAGGGCCCGAGAGGCTCCGAAAAGCGGACGAAAAGGGCACCCAAAGGCGTCGAAGACGGCGGAAAAAACCGAATATGGATACAGAGAGGCAGAAATGAGCACCCGCATTTTGTTTTGGGGCCTCAGAAAGCCGTCCAGGGGCCTCTTGGGCGCGCCGCAGACGACCCAACTGGGCGCCAAAAGGGCGCCAGACGGCCCAACATGGGTGCATGAGGCCTTCGGGACGGCTTGGAGGCCTTGGATATTCCAACGTGGCCTGGGAGGCCCCGAAAAATGGCACAAGATGCTGCAAGAGAGCTCCAAGAGACGCAAAGAGAATGCCGAAGCGGCGAAAATTGGCAGGGCGAATAAGCGAGAGCCACTGGAAATACAATCGCTTCGCTCATTCCGTTCGCCCACGCTGTATGTAGTGTTTCGTGGCCTTCGCCCAGATTGGCTCGTGAAAGGAGGCCTTGCTCGGAGGCTCGGGCGGGTGATGTAAGAGCCACAGGAAATTTCCCCTTCCTCCTCGCGACGTTGGTTCGCAAGCGCCGACGCGGACGACCGAGACAATAGTGGGGAGATTCAGTTTGCAGGCTGTCGCAACACACCTGTGCACATATGCAATTTATGCCATTCCCCTTTTCCCCTCCTTCTTACTCTTTCTGTTTTTTGTTTTAAAAAACTCCTGCCTCACAGTCAGGCCGCCACATTTTCAAGCAGACCTGGCGGCTGGGAGGAGCAGGGGGAGGGGGAGGAGGAGGAGGAGGAGGAGGAGGAGGAGGAGGAGGAGGAGGAGGAGACGCAGGGGGATGATGATGATGATGATGATGATGATGATGAAGAGGAGGAGGAGGAGGAGGAGGAGGAGGAGGAGGAGGAGGAGGAGGAGGAGGACGGCTGCACCTCACGGAGGACAAAGAAGCCGCCAGCCTCGAGGCTTCGATGAGGAGAAGGAGGAGTAGGAGGAGCGAGGTCCGAGGAGCAGGAAGAGCAAGGAGGAAGGAGGGCTGGGTTATGGGGAGCCCACAAACGCCGCACGCGCCCAGCCACGTGCATGAATACGGCCCCCCAGTCCGCGAGGCCAGCCTAGTTAGTTGCCTTGGTTGCCCACTCGTCCATCCACTGGCTTGGCGTTCTCGCGACGTGCGCGGGCCAAAGGGGTCGGAGTCGGCGGGCGGCCGCACCAGTGCGCAGGTTTGCTGCCTCCGCGCGATGGCGCCCGCGGACGGCCGCGCCGCGGAGTCGGGCTCCGTCGAGCACGGCCGCGGTGCCCCTGGCTTACAGTCCACCCGCATAGTAAGGATGAGCAATTCTCCCAGGCTGCCCCTGCAGCTTTGCCCCTTCGGCCCATGCTTTGGGACTTTCGCTCGCCAGCCTCGTTCGAAAGACGTCAACCTGGCCCTCCAGGGTCCTTGCATCCCTACCGCGCATCCTCATTATACGGGCTGACTGTAGGGGGCGAAGAGTGGTACAACATTAGCTGCTCCGCCGTCGGGGACGCCTGCTCCCTGGGCTGCTGCAAAGTTTATATGCCCCTACAGCCGCCGGCGGCTGCAAACGGGGTACACAAGCTTTGCAGCCGCCCGGGGCCCGGGGGGCAGGCGCCCCCGACGGCGGACAAAGGTTAATGTTGTACAGTTCTTCGCCGGCTAACAGGCGCTGGCGTGCTCTACTGCAGGCTGGTCGTCCGCGGGGTGGTCCGGGCGACGGAGGCTCGCGGGCGGGAAGCACACCCGCTTGCGCCGGCCGACAGACCGGTCACCATCAACCAGACGGGGGATGTCGTGGTCGGCATGCCGAGAGGACGCGTCGATCTCGGCCAGGTCTGGGGCTCCTCCGGGGCCCCGAGGCGCCCCAAACCCTCGTGTTCAGCGCTTGCACCTTTTGCGAACAGCGCCAGCGTCGAGGATGTATGGCCGTGCGCATGTCCACTGCGGGCAAGAGTTGTATCCATGCCCTCTGTGTCTCGGATTGTTGGGTTCCCTTCCCCAGAAACCAGAGGCGCACATGATATAGATAGTAATCTGGCCCTCAGAGGCTAGATTTTTGTCCATATCCACTGCGCCTCGGCCTTTTGGCGCCCCTTCCCAGAAGGTCCAAGACGGAGAAGATCTGGACGTAAATCTTGCCTGCATCCACGGCCGCGACCCTATGGGATACAGGGCGGCTCCCCGCGGAGGCCCCGCGCGGAACGTACCCACGGGATCGCGCGTTCATGCGGCCTCGCCCGCGCCCCGTGGTCCAGGCCGCGAGGGGCCAGATGTATGGACAGGCGCGTCGCTCCCCCAGAGATCCGGGGTTCGGAAAAAATTGGAGCGACCAGTTTTTGGCCGTGTTCGGTCTCCAGGCACCCTCGCTGGGCCCCAGGACCGTCAAGACATAAGTCAGGACTGGACACCGGCCCTAGGGACGGTTAGGCAACTTTGGTACGATTCTCAAGAGCGGCCGATGAGGCCCAGAGGAAGAGCGTCGTCGGCAGCTTAGGGAAATGGCGCGCAGCCTCGGCTCCAGGAGAGCAAAGAGGAGGGCAGCCGGAGCACAAGCGGGGCCGCGCGACACACCGAGCCAGAACCATTTTTTTTTCTCCATCGCGTCGCCGCTCTCCCCTCTCCGATGCGGCAGCCGCCAGGGGCGATGGCCCCGAGCGCGGGGGGGCGCTCGGGGCCCAGCGGCCTTCTTATAATACTGGTTGCAGGTACGCCCCCCCCCCCCCCCCATCCGCGGCGGGGCGGCGCGCATGGGCCGTGGGCCGCCTTCAGTTGAGATTATAATTCGTAGAGTGCCCGGCGGACTCGCCCTCGTCGATCCCTGCCGTTTGTGAGGTCCGGCGTCCGAGGGCGGCGGTCCCGGCTTGGTGCCACGATGGTTCCGAAGCTGCGAAGGTCACGAAGCCTTGCGAACTCGCATGGCTCCTGCCTGGTTCCAGTTTGGTTCCGAGATGGTTCCGGAGTTGCAGGTCCACGAAGCCCCACCGGCCCATGTAGAAAAGAAACGATACCCAGAGGAAGTGGCTCGATCAGGGAAGTGGGCAGCACACAGAGGAAGGGTCCCCCCAGTGGAGGCCTCTTGGAGCGTCTTGGGGGCCTCTTGGCGGTCCCTGACGCCTCTTAGAGCGTCTTAGGTGCCTCGGAGAGCTTCTTGGGGCCTCTTGGGGCCTCTTGGGCGTCTCTTGGGGGCCTCTTCGAGGCCTCTAGGGCGCCTGTTGGGGCCTCCCGGGCCTCCTTGGCGCCTCTTGGGGCCCGCTTGAAGCGCTCTTGGGAGCCTTGGGGCGCTCTTGGAGCCCTCTTGGGCCATCTTGGAGTCATCTTGAAGCCTCGGATGGCCATCGGAAGCGAAAAGGCGAGAACGCCCAAAATATTCACTTTCCTGAGGTTTTGGAAGGAATTTTGGCCTCTTCGGGGCCTCCTGGGGGAGCTCTTTGGCCACTTGGAGCCGTCCTGAAGCGCTCTTGCGGCCTCTTGGAGCATCGTGGGAGCCATCTTGAGGCATCTTGGGATATCTTGCGCCATCTTGGAGGTCATCTTGGGCTCTCCCAGGCGCTCTTGGAGTCATCTGAAGCAGTGCGCCCCCCCCCCAGGAGGCCCAAATGTGGCCAACACCTTTGTAAAATCAATGATTTTGGCATTCTCGCCGAGGCCTCTTGGAGCGTCTTGGGTGCCTCTTGGGGGCCTCTTGGGGCCTCCTGGGTTTTTTTTGGAGCCTCTTGGGGGCATTCTGGGGGCCTCTGGGGGGCTTCTTGGGGCCACATGGGGCCATCTTGGGGCCATCTCGGGGCCTCTTGGGGCCTCCTGGGCGCCACTTGGGGCCATCTTGGAGGAGATCGATCACAGGATGGGGGGGTACTAAATTAGCCCCCCCCCTCAGGAGGCCAAAATGGGGCCAACTCCCTAGTAAAACCAATGATTTTGGCTTCCTCGCCGAGGACGTTTTGGACGCTCCAACGCGTCGCGGAACCTCCCGTCCAGGTCCAGGGGAGGGGGTGGGGAGGGGTAAACCCCTCCCCGAAGGGGAAGAGGAAACTCCCTAGACCACCTACGCCCAGATGGCTGGTGGGATTTACAGGAAACTGTTTGAGCCAAAACACCAGCGGCCCAAGCGCCCATGCCGCCCCGCCCGCTGGATCGCATGACCGCGCAGGCGCAGACGTGCGTGGAAACGTGCGTATTCAGGTCCATTCGATTCGTACCAGCATTACTTAACCGTCTGTAGGGGAATTGTCCAGACCTCTGGGGGCCCACACATCGAAAACATTTGAGCGGTCGGATGTTTGGGCCGCGGCCCCAGACATCCAGAGTCTCGACTTGTTCGAGACGCGGGAAGCCGACGCCTAGACCATTTCCCCGGAACCGGTTCTTCATCCTTAGCAGTTTTGAACGGCTCCGCGGGGCCAAAAAGGGGCCTTGAGCCCTGAGTGGCCGAGATTCACGAAACAAAAACCTCCGTCGCGAGTTTGCCGAGACGCCAGCTGAGCTTGGGACAGGCGGCGGTGGTCGACCTCGGGGCCGAGCAGACCATCGTGGCCTGCCCCGCCGCGTGTGCGCCAGCCCGCTCGGGCGGTTGGGCGGAGCCCGCGGAGGAGCCCGCCCTCGGGAACCACGCGTGCCCCTGCGCCGGAGGCCTCCATTGGCAGCAATGAACCACGACCACAACTTGGGTCCCCGCACCACAGGGTCCTCGCACCTCCTCCTCTTCCTCCTCCTCCTCCTCCTCCTCTTCTTCCTCCTCCTCCTCATCTTCCTCCTCCTCCTCCTTTTTTTCCTCTTCTTCCTGCTCTTCCTCCTCCACCTCCTCCTCCTCCTCCTCTGGAGGGCAGTTCGGGGGAGAAACGTCTTGGAGGCCACGTCGGTGGCCATCTTGGATGCCGTCTTGGAGGCCATCTAGGGCCGCCCTGGAGGCCATCTTGGGCTCCCTGTGACTTCGGGGGCCCGCCGAGACAATCTCAGGGAGATGGGGGGCACCATTCCCTGGAGGGAAAAGGGCTTCAGGAAGAGGACAGAAAGAACTCGCTGGACCACCGCAGGCCGAAGTGCTGGTGGGATGACGGGGATTTTTCTCGAGGGCCCCTCGGGGAATGACCCGCCGACCTCGACATGAACCTCTTGGGCTGTGGCTGTGGTTGTGTTGGCCGTCTGGGACGCCCACGTTGACAACGGCCAGAAATGAGCTGATTTCGGTGCTCTGACGATTGCTGGCATGCGCAAGATATCGCCAAGCATAATGCAACCCCCAACCTTAATTGCATAATGAAATCGTGGCCTGCCTTTCGTTCTCGGTTTTTCGGGTCATCCCTAAACATGTGAGTGGTCTCGCCGGAGACATCTGCAAAACAGACCCCCTTATCCCTAATTGTTTGGCCTTTCTAGTATAGGTCCCCTCCCAATGGATCAGGGGTCCTTATATATTGCTGATCAAGACGCTCCCCAGAGTGTGTCCTCGATGTGGCTGCGGTCGCTCGCCCCCCCTGCCAGAAGGCGGACCGTGTGCCGTGGTCTTCTACTGCCTGGACGCCGCGGCGCTGCTGACCGCGGGCATCCCCGAGGCCCTGAGGCTCTCTGGGCCACCCCAGGTGGGGGTACGCAAGCCCCAGACCCTCTCGAGAGCAACGAAAACGAGGTGCCCTCGAGGGCGCGAGGTTGTTCGCGCCCCGCGCTTCGCGGTTCGGCTCCGATTCCTCCTCGTCCTCCTCTTTTCCCCCGAGGGCGCGGCGCGAGAGCTTCGCGCAGCGCGACGCGCAAAGTCAAACGCCAGTGGGAGAAAAACAACAAAACGCCAGTGGCCTCTGGGAGGCCCCATACCAGGCCTCCGGGCAGTCTAGCAACGACGCAGGATGAAACACCAGTCCCAAGCGATGCGTCGAGACCTCTGGGGTCGACGGCAAGAGACAAGCATGACGTCGGGGGTCTGGGTAGATGGGATCGGCGGCCTCCGCGCCGCATCGCCGCCATGCATCGGCGACGCGGCTCGACGTGGAGCTCGACTTTCTCCACGCGGACGTCGACGATGCATTGGCGACGCATTGGCGATGCGTCGCGATCCTGCGACCCTACGTGCTCGGACCCAATTTCGGCGACGCAGAAAAACGGGTATGCCGACATGCTGCCCGCGTGAAATCGCGCGTAAGCGCCTTCGTTTCCAACGCAGCGTGCCCCACTGGCGGCCCGCGTAAGTCGCCGCGTAAGGTCGCTATGTCATCTCGCGTAAGATCCGTTTTTGATCGTCGCTCATTTGGGAGGCCTCCAGGTTCAGGGGCGCCGACGGTGCGCCGGCCGTGCCCGACGCGGACCTCCGGGGAGGAGCGGGGACGCGGACCTCACGGGGGGGAGCGGACCTCTGGCGGGGGGGAGCAAGGGCGCCGGCCGGGCCAAGGCTTGAGCCCAGGATCGGTGCATGTGCCAGATTCGGCTGGTTTGTTATCCAGGGCAGGAATTCCCTGAGATCTTGGCGCTGTGTTTTTCGGCAACGGGCGTTTTCGCTTAATTTCGGGTCATGGGACCCTCACAGGTCGATGCGGCTTGAAAAATGACGCAGAAAGGTGGGGTCTGGGGGTTGGGGCGCGTTTTTTTGCGATGCTGCATTTTTTCCTGCTTCGGATCTCAGGGTCATATATGGTCCAGGGCTTGGGCCCCCCCCCTCCCCCAATGCTGATGCCATTGGGACCCCCCCCCCTCGCGCGATGGTCCCCCCCTTCCCCCCCTGTGGGCGTGGCGTGGTGCTGCGCTGCGGTGCCCCTCCCTCCCCTGTGGATGTGGTGTGGTGCTGTGGTGGTTCAGAAGTGGGCGTGGCGTGGTGCTGCGCTGCGGTGCCCCCCTCCCCCCCCTGTGGATGTGGTGTGGTGCCGTGGTGGTTCAGAGGTCGTCGTCGTCGTCGTCGTCGTCGTCGTCGTCCTCGTCGTCCTCGTCGTCCTCGTCGTCCTCGTCGTCCTCGTCGTCCTCGTCGTCGTCGTCGTCATCGTCGTCGTCGTCGCCGTCGTCGCCGTCGTCATCGTCGTCGTCGCCGCCGCCGCCGCCGGCGTCGTCGCCGCCGCAGCCGTCGTCGTCGTCGTCGTGGTCGTCGTCGTCGTCGTCGTCGTCGCCGTCGTCGTAGTCGTCGCCGTCGTCGTCGTCGTCGCCGTCGTTGTCGTCGTCGTCGTCGTCGTCGTCGTCTCTGGGACCATACCATCTGGGGGGGGGGAGGGGGGCCCGAGGAATCCTGGGACCATACCATCTGGGGGTGGGGGTGGGCCCGTGAACCCTCGACCCTGGATCATGTATGTCCAGAGCCTCGGGAGCCTTGAAACGGGGGTCAGTGCAAACGGGGGTCGGCCAGAGCGCCGCATCTTGCAGGATCCTGCGAAGCCATGGTTGCATTGACCCGGGCTGGCGCGCAGGATCCTGGAGGATCCTGCAAGAGCTCGCAGGATCTTGCAAAGGCTGATTGACCCGGGTTTGCAGTGACCCTGGTCGGTAGATCATCGAGAGCCTGGGAGCTGGTGTCCCAAGACCCAGAGGCGGTGGACGTGGAATGTTGGGCCCCGGAGGGGCCCAAAGGTCTGCGCAGACCGGAGCACAGGGCCCCGGGGTCCCCGTGCCGCGACCACGACCACAAATATTGGCGCTGGGGGTCCAGCCCGCTCCAAGCGCGGCCACCCGGCCCAGGAGGCCCCCATGACGGCTTCAAGCAGCCTGGAGACGGCTGGCACAAGAGGGCTTCAAGACGGCCCAGGAGCGCGCCAAGACGGTATATGATGACCCCAAGACGACCCAAGGTGCCCGCAAGCTGCCCCCACAGGGCCGCTGGAGCCGCAAGAGGGACCCATCAGGTTGAATCATTGATCTCCAACAGGCTTTTGCATGATTTTTTGCCTTCTCGCTTTGTCGCGCATCTGGCAGTCCAAGGTAGGTCTTGGAGCCTCCCAGATCGCCCCAAGACGCCCCAACAGGGCCCTCATATGGCCCAAGATAGCTCCAGATCGCCCAAGTGGGCCCCAAGACAGCCTCAAAAAGCCCCCATGGCGGTCTAAGAGAGGTCCAAGAGGGCCTCAAGATGGTCCAAGAACGCTCCAAGATGGCTCAAGATGGTCTCCAGACAGCCCAAAGCGCCTTCAAGACGCCCCCAGAGGGCCCTTGGAGGACCCAGAAGAGGGCCCACAGAGGCAACACTCCTGGATATTCCAATGGTTATTGAGCGAGTTTGACCTTAACATGTTTTTTCCGTTTCTGACCTCCTCAGACATGTCTGGGAGCGTCCCAGAGAGCCCCAATATAGCCCAAGATTGCCTGCAAATGGCTTAGTGACTGGCATTGAGGAGGAGGAGGAGGAGGAGGAGGAGGAGGAGGAGGAGGTGGAGGAGGAGGAGGAGGAGGAGGAGGAGGAGGAGGAGGAACAGTGTAAAACCAACACTCATCAACGATGGTGCAATAAACCATCCCTCCAAGGTTTCTCCCCAGGCCCCTACAAGGATATATTTAATCGCTTCGCTCATTCCGCCAGCCCATATTGCCTCGCCGCTGTCGTTTGTCGGGGTGTTGTCAATGCGGTGCGGTTGGGTGGCTGCCATTTTTCGGAGGCGGTGGGTGGCGGGTCAGAGGCCTCACGGATGTTGGTTGGGCTCTCGTGGTTTGCCTCTCAGGGGCCTTTGGGAGGCAGTTATGAGGCCTCTTGGGGGTCGTGTTGGGGCCTCTTGGGGCCTCTTGGGGGCCTCTTGGGCCTTCTTGGGGTGCCTCCGGGCGGGGGGCCCCTTGGGGCCTCTTGGGGGCCTCTTGGGGCCTTCTGGGGGGCTCTTGGGGCTGAAGGCTGGACTTTTCGGTTCCTGGTCCCCTTCTTGGGCCCCTCTTGGGACCGTTTTGGGGCTCTCTTGGGCCGTCTTGGGCGCTTCTTGGGGCCATCTCGGGTCGTCTTAGGGGCCCTCTTGGAGGCTTCGTGGGCCGTCTTGCGGCGGTCTTGGAAGCCTCCTGGGCCGTCTTGGAGCGCTGGTAAGTCGAAAAGGTGAGAACGCCGAAAACCGTCAGAATTACAAATTTCTGCCTCTGTGGGCCCTTTTGGGAGGTCTCGTGGAGGCCTCTTGGGGCGTCTTGAATGCGATTTGGGCTGTCTAGAGTCTGGAGGCAACCTTTGGCGTCTTGGATCGCTCTTGGACCGTCTCGGACCATGTTGAGCTCTCTTGGAGGCCACTTGAAGTGCTCCTGGAGCGCTCTTGGGAGCCTGCTGGGACCTGGCTGGGACCTGCCCGGGACCTGCCCGAGACGTGCTCGGGATTTTGCCGGGACCTTGCCGTGACTTGGAGGGGTATTTTTCGTTGGGGACCCCCAGGGGCGGCCCTGCGCGCGCGAATTAAAAATATTGTGAACCAGTTGCCGGAGATCTTAGCACGCCCTGGGCCCGTTGGGCCGGCGAATTTTCATTGAGGGACGTGCACTGTTGGAAGACATCCGATTGAAAATCCTGAGCCGTGCCAGGACACTATTCCTGGGTCTTCACCACAGCGAATATACATTACTGTTGCGTCTTGACGATCCTGCATCGTGCCAGAATACCATGCTTGGGACTTCAACACCAGGAATCAACGGAACTGCTGCACCCTGACAGTCCTACATCGTGCCCAACAACATTCATGGGACATTAGCCATTCTACTCTTTGAAACTGTTGTAAACTCTTTAGACCACTGTGCGGGGCGCTGAAAGGAACCACCCTCCATCCGTGAAGCTCCTACCGTCTGTTAAGACGACGCAGCGCTAAGGCCGAGAGCTACATTTCTTAATCCATCCGCCCTCCATCCGTGAAGCTCTTGCAAACAGCTTGTTGAAAGCGAATCTCCGCAGCGCTAAGGCGAGAGCCACGTTTTGACAAGGAGCTGTCTTCACCCGTGAAGCTTATGCAGTGTTTTAGAAATGATTGTGCGCGGTGCTAAGGCGAGAGCCACATTTTGAAAACCGCCCGCCTTCCAGCCGCTAATTTTCTGCAGAATGTTAATCAAGACGAGCATGCTCGGCGCTGAGGCGAGAACCACATCTTGAAAACGACCCGCCCTCCATCCGTGAAGCTGTTCCACTCTGAAGTGTCAGGATCATCAACGGCGAGGAGGTATTAGGCGAAACGCCTAGCTTGCCCTACCGACTGGAATCGAGGTTCGACAGGAAGGAGTTATCTACCAGGAAGAGTGATGGAAGAGGGGGAGGAGGAGGAGGAGGAGAAGGAGAGGAGGAGAAGGAGAAGGAGGAGGAGAATAACCAGAGCAAGCCCGATACTCATCAGCGATGCTGCAATGCATCCTCCAAGTTCCATCCTCATAGGTTCCTACATGCTGTTTTTCTCATTGCTAGAAGTTGCGCATGAAGCGACGAACTTTTGAGAATCCTCAAATGCGCACCACAACGTACTTCCTGGGATGCCAACGCCGCGGATCAACGTGACTGTTGCGCCCTGACAATCCTAAATCGTACCAGAAATCCATACTTCGTATTTCAACGACGCAAATCCACGTGACTGCTGCGTCCCGACAACCCTGAATCGTGCCTGAACACCAGGCCTGGGACTTCAGCCAAACGAAGCTTCAAAACTGCGGCAAACTTTTCAGACACATGCTCGCGGCGCTAAGGCGAGAGCCACAGTTTGAAGCCTTCCGCCCTCCATCCTTGAAACTGTCCCACAGTCGTAAACCGAATGCGCGCGGCGCTAAAGCGAGTTGAAAGCCTTCCGCCCTCCATCCTTGACACTGTTGCGAATTTTAAGATCAATGTGCGCGGCTGTGAGGCGATAGTCACATTTTGAAAACGTCCCGCCCTCCATCCTTAACACCGTTGCAGGATTTTAAAACGAATCGTATTTTGAGAACGACCAGCCCTCCATCCGTGAAGCTGTTACGATTTTCATGCCTCAAGGTGGTAATTGGTGAGGATCTCTCATGCGAAACGCCCAGCCCGCCCCAATGATACGTCTGGGGCTGCGACGGGGATGCGTTACGTTACTCATAAGGAAGAGGGATGGAGATGGAGGAGGAGAAGAAGGGAGTGAGGGAGGGATGAAAATGGTGGAGGGGGCGGGGGAAGGAGGAAGAAGGACCTCGAGGAGGACGTAGCCACGACACCCCCGAGCAGCCTTGAAATACAAAATTGGGAAGGCCTTGCGGCCGGTGCCGCCGACCCTGAAAGGGGACGACGACGACAACGACGACGACGACGACGACGACGACGACGACGACGACGACGACGACGACGACGACGACGACGACGACGACGACGGCGACGGCGACGGCGGCGGCGGCGGCGGCGGCTGTGACGACGCTGACGTGGGTCGGAGTCCTCAGGGATGCTTCGTGGGGTCTCTTCGGAGCGCTCTCGTATGCCTCTGGTTCTGGGGCATCTTGAGAGCTTCTTGGGGGCCTGTCAGGGCTTCTAGGGATCTCTTGGGGGCCTCTGGGGGCATCGCGGGAGCCTCAGGGAGGCCTCTTGGGCCTCCTTGGAGTTTCTCAGGGCCGGGCGCTCGAACTGTTCGTTCGGGCCCCACGTCTGGGCACCCTCTTGAAGCCGTCTTGGGGGCCTCTTGGGCCGTCTTGGAGGCCTCTAGGTCCGCCTTGAGTTCATGGTGGGGCCGTCTTGGAAACCTCTTGGGGGCCTCTTGGTCTTGGGCCGTCGGGAAGCCGAACACGCGAGATAGCCAATATCTCTCCAAAACTTTAGGCGAATCATCACATGTTGCTTGTTGGGGTCCGCTTAGTGTGCTCTTGGAGGCCTCTGCGAGCGTCTTGGCAGCCTCTTGGTCCAGGTCGTCTTTCGTCGCGTCTTGGACCACATGTTCGGCGATTCGGGGCCCTCTCGGACCGTCTTGGGGGCCTCTTGGCGCACTCTTGAGCCGTCCTGGAGCCCGTGTGGGCCCTGGGAGCGCCCGGGGTGGATGGTATTTTGACCTGGGACCCCCTCGCTCCCCCCCCCCCCCCCTGCGGGGAAGGGATCAAATGGAAGGGGCTTCCCTTCAACTTAATTGCGACAAGGTCGGCGGATTCACTTGAGCAGGAGATTGGCGAGGAGGATGAGGGGGACGACGAGGAGGAGATTGGAGGAGAGAGGAGAGAGGGAGGGATGCGAACGGTAGAGGAGGCGGGGAAGGAGGAAGGAACACCACAAGGAGGACGCAGGCGGAAGGAAGGAGGCTGCAGTGCAGGCGGGAGGGAGGCTGCAATGGAGGCAGGTGGGAGCAGGGTGGCAGACAGGGAGGAGGGGATGGGGGGAGAGGGCGGCGGAGGGCGAGGACGCGGCGGAGCAGCCTCGAGGGCAGAGAGGGTGAGCTCTGAGAGAGCCCACCGCAGGCTCGGGCGGCTCTGCTCTGGAGTTTGGCAGCCTTCTGCGGTGCTGCGGCGGTGTCTTTGGTTCCCGCAGTTGCCCGTGGCTCCCCGGCGCCCTCCGTAGCCCGCCCCCCGTTGGGGGCGTTCTGGCGGCGTTCGAGTCGTCCCGAAAGGCCGCCCGAGGCCGGAGCTGCCGCCCGAAAAGGACCCCGAAGGAGAGCGAGGAGGAGCAGCAGGAGGAGAATGGCGGATGAGGAGGAGGGAGGGGGATGAGGATGCAGAGGAGGAGAGAGGAGGAGGGAGGCGGCACAAAGAGGGATGATGATGAGGGGGACGAGGAGGAGGACGAGGAGGAGGAGGAGGAGGAGGAGGAGGAGGTTCGTTTTCTGAAGTTTCTTCTTGCTCCGGAGGCTTCGTCCGTAATCCTTCCAGGCCTTCGGCAACCGCTCCATTAGCACCCTACCGTCACCGCCCCACCGCCCTCGACGCGCTTGAGCCCATGCATCGGTCCCAGAGGACCTCGTCAGTCCCCAGCTGGCCCTAGTGCTGCCCAAGAAGGCCCCCAAATAGCCCCACGGCCCCCCAGCGCGGCCCAGAAGGGCGCCAAGAGGGCTCCAAGACGGCTCCAAGACGGCTCCAATAATCTCCCACGGCGGTATCGATGGACACCAAATATCCCAAGACGGCCCCAAAGAGTTTCATCTGGCCCCCAAGACTGTCCAAGACCGTATCAAGATCGCCCCAGGATCACCCCCCAGGCAGCCCCCAAACCCTCCAAGGCGGTTTCCCGACACATCAAGGGGCGGCCAAGACGGCCATAGAGATGTCAACGGAGACATGGAGCGCCTTGATGCAGCTCCAAGAACTTTATTCATGAGACAGAAGGCAGGCTGGCAGAGGCGGACGGCATGAGAGCTGAAGGCAGGGGAGAATGGGCGAGGATGCGTGGAGGAGGGAGGAGGCAGGACGGGAGAAGAAGGATGGAGGAGGAACGGCTGAGGAATCTGATGGAGGAACGAGGGACGAGGGACAGACAATACATGAGGACGGAGGATGCGGGGCGGAAGGCGGGGCGGAGGGGGTGGGAGGAGGGAGAATGATGGAGGTCCGGATCGAGGATGGAGGAAGGGGAATTGAAGGACGGTTGAGGGAGGGCAGGGGGAGGAGAGGACCATTACGGACCATTTGGTATGGCGGTTATGATGTACGTCTCGTTCTTGGCCGCTTTGCCGATGCCACGAAGTGTGAACAATTGCCTCAGCTTGCTAGAACCTCAGCGCGCACCACGCGCGCGTGGTTGTGGTACCGTATTCATATCCACTGCAGCCAGGGGTCCTGGGACATCATCTCCCAGGGCGGTGGAGATGTGTACGTTCTGGCCTCGGAGTGTACGCCTGCCTGGCTCGGCCAGAAGATGCCAGCAGAGCGTACCACCCGATCCCGGGCCAAGGAATGACCTGGCTGGGACCATCATCGGTGCAAGTGGATAGTCGTTGGACGGGGCTGGGACGAGGATACGTCCGTTCCAGAGCGTTCCAGAACGCTCTGAGAAAGCTGCGGCGCCCGAGACATCCTCCAGAGCCGCGGGGTCGCAGAGATTCTCAATGTTATCTTTACCCGAGTTTATCATCGTCCTGGCTTCGTCTTAAGTTGGCGTCTCGTCAGGATCGGACTGGACGAGAGGGGGGATCGGGAAAGGACGGGGTCACGACACCCGATGCGTGCAGCCGGTTTCGGCTCCGCCGCCAGGCCTCCTCCTCGATGCATGGCCGCTTCCGGCGCTGGAAGGTACCAGGGAAGCCGCTGTAGCCCCGATTCGGCAGTTCTCCCATTTTGCTCAATGATCAAGCCGAGGGGGAGAGCTGCCGCATCAAGGATTAAGCCTCTTAATCTCCCAGGCCCCTTATGGCCGTCGCCGGCGCCTGGAGGCCCGGGGAAGCCGCTGTAGCCCTGATTCGGCAGTTCTCCCCCTCTGCTTAATCCCCCCCCGGGTCCCTTCTCGATACATGGCCGTCTCCGGCGCCAGGAGGCCCCTGGGAAGCTGGTTGCGTGCAGCGCTGAGTCGGCAGCCCTCGCCCTCTGCTGAATCCCCCCCGCCCCGGCAGGACGCCCTCCGCGACCTCTTCAGGGGTCCAGCAGAGGGAGACGCCACATGGATGTGTGCGCTGCTGGAACAGGATGGCGAACGAACAACGCAACAAACCCATATCCGTAGGGGGATCGGAGTGCGGGTTGTCAGACCCCAGGAGGCTCCCGTTCGAGCAGGTGCCCCCGTCCGACAAAACGCTCCCATGGACCCCTCCGTCCCCCTATGGGTATGTGTGTGTTTAGTCGCAGGAGGCGGCTGCGGCTCCCTACCGGGAGGTCAGGTTCGGTGCCTCGCAGGAGCTGTTCCTGCGAAACAGCGTCGTGGTGATCCTCGGCTTCTGCCGCCCTGGGCCCTGTTTTGGAGGACGGAGGCGCGCGCAACAGGTGTCGCGCTCAATCTAGCATCAGAGTGCTTCAACATAGGACGGAGAGCGCAGCAGTTCGACCTCGTCATAGACGCCTGCACAGAGCCTGGTACGCGCAGACAGCGCGTACAAATGGAACTCAGAATCGCCAACGACCGTTAGTAAGCTAGAGAGGCTTGAAGTCACGAGTGGGCTGCGCCAACCCAAGCTTCGGGAAAGAGGAGAAACCAGATGCGAGCGGAGGAGGGAGGAGGAGTGGGTGGTGGGGGAGTAGCAGGAGGTAGGCTTAGCTTATCTATCTGATCCCTCTGCCGTGATCCTCGATCTTCTAACCAGGGAAGGAGAATGAGGAGGAGGGATAGGGAGGAGTGCGGATCCAGGATTCAAGAGGGGTAGGAGGGGAAGGAAGAGGAGGATGGGGGTCAACGTTTGGCCCCCTCCGCCCTTCTTCCTTAATGGGAGTTCCTCCTCGTCGCGCCACCCAGCGTGTCGGCAGGGGGGGCAGGCGTCTTGTTTGATAATCGCCCACACACAAGGATCTCTCGAAGTTCGCATTTTCTAGCAATTACACGGGTGCAGAGCGGGTTGTCTCTAAAGTGTGCCCGACGTCCGTTTGGACGAAGTACGTGTTCTTCACGGATGGACTGGCGGGTCATTTCTCAGAGTTGGTTCTCGCCTCGGCGCCTCGCATTTTCTTCTTCAAAGGTCCCATCAACTCTACAGATGGATGTGAGATCGGTTTCAAGAAGTGGCCCGTTTTCGCTATGTCTGTCAGCGTGGAACCCAAGTAGTGGGTTCCTGCGCGCTAGATGTGCAATAACAGTGGTGCAAGCTACGTGATCAATTTTGCGTTTGTCAACTCATGAATTGCCAACTCCACTCCGCGCGCAATCATCCAACCCTCCCACCCGCAACTTGGTTGTCAACAACCATGCGGTGGCGATTGCGACGACTGCTTGGCCGTTTCTGGCGCATCTCTGCGGCCGCGCTGGCGCGCGCACCCTCGCGCGCAGAGCGGCCAACTGTTTTGGCACACCCAATGGGGCAGCGATGACGCTTACCGATGGCAACGTTCCAGAGCGTATCACAGGCCGCGCTGGCGCGCGGGCACTTCAACAATGCTGGTCGGTGGCTCGGGCGGGCACAGTATCATGATGTCGCTGACACCATCGGCAACGTTGATGGTGTTATCGATGGCGGTAGCGATAGCAATGATGACGACGGCAAAGCCAATGACGGCGCCGATGTTGGTAACGCCAGTGACGGTTACGATGTCCAACGGCGGAGGTATTTGAGAGGCGATGGCGGCAACTGCGGCGATTGTCGATGATGGTGGCACGGTGCCGCAGTGTTGATGACGGTGATGGTGAGGAATGGCGGGCGTGCCGAAAACTACAGGCCGTGGGACAGTTTTTGATGAAACGCATGCTGTCATACGTTTTGAAGAGTGCAGTGTTGAATTGCTTCGGAAACCGATGGTTTTGAACGGATGTCGACACGCTCGCCTGACGGCGCGCGCGTGTGACCCGTATGGTGCTATTTGATACCATTTCGCGCGCTGGACGCATGCTGGGTCAACGCGGTTGCACCGCGTGGTGGGATGAGAATGCGCAGAGCCGATGTGGTGTATACAATGTTGTGCAAACTACTCAGTGCGCATGCTACGTGGTGCATGCTACTTGATGTGTGCTTCTCGGTGCAGGCTGAGTGGTGCAACGTAGGTGCTGCAATCCATGGTGTGCAATCTATGTAGTCCACTCCTATATGGTGCATGCTATGCGGCGCAGGGTATGCGAAGCAAGCTGTTTCGTGACATGCACGTGTTGCACTCCATGAAGTGCAGGAGAGGTGGAGCACTTCATGTGGCATCGGCGACGTGGTGCAAGGTATCGGGTGCAGTCTATGCAAGCTATGTGGCGCGCTCTGTCTGATGCAGGCGATGTGGTGCAATCCACGTGGTGCGAGTTAGCGCACGGGACGCCCACGAGGCGCCCACGGGCGCCTACCGGGCAAATTCCAGCACGCAATCCCAGCGCACGAGGCGCCGACGAAGCTCTCACGGATGCCCACAGGGCGAAAACACCAGCACACCAGCTTGTACGAGGCGCCCACGAAACGCCCACGGGCACCCTTCAGGCGAAGCTTCGACGCACCCGAGTACTCAGATAACGGAGTCACAGGCCCTTAGTGCAAACACTGTCTACGAATCGTAGTCCCAACACAAAGTAGAATCAGTACTCGTAGATCGTAGATGGTAGTAGATCGTCGGAGTTGCGGTGCCACTGCTGCTGTTCGAGAGCCAGTCGTAGTACGAACCCAGCCAGCACACAGGGCGGCGACGGGCGGCGACCAAGCGAAAGCCTGGCGAACCCAGCCAGCACAGCAGGCGGCGGCGAGGCGACGACGGGCGGCGACAGAGCGAAGCCCCCGGGGACCCCAGCCATCGGCGACGGGCGGTGACGAGGCAGCAGCGAGCGGTGACCAAACTCGGGGAACCCAGCCAGCACGAGGCCGCGGCGAGGCGGCGAGGGGCGGCGACTGGGCGAAAAGCCGGGGCACCCAGCCAGCACATGAGGTCGCGAGGAGGCGGCGACGGGCGGCGACTGGTCGAAACCTGGGGAACCCAGCCAGCACACCAGGCGGCGACGAGTCGGCGACGGGCGGCGACCCAGCCAGAACCAGGGGAACCCACACAGTTATTTTGCAAAGAGAGAGAGAGCCCCTCAGTGCAAGCACTGCTTGGGGAAGGTTATTCTCGTCCCAGCGCCGCGGAAATTTTGTGTAAGCTTATACGGTTGGACTGCTCCTTTCGAAGATAGGGCTCTTGATTGTTTCTTCCGCAGGTCTTATGGCCAGAAGTGTGTGTTTGCAAATCAGTCTCACGGATGGAGGACGGTTCATTTTCGAAATGTGGCGTTCGTTTGATATCCCTTCGGGGTTCATGAGACACGTAACATTGTGTAGCAGCGATGCAGGTGGAGTGCGGCTGCTTTTTTCAAGGGTTTCTCGCTGACCGCTCAGTTGAGCCTTATTATGTTCCGTACCTCCTTATGACCGGGCTGTTGCCATTGTCGTTGGCGATAAGCAATTATCATTATCTCCTGCCCCTTGTCGTTCTCTTCCTTTTCCCCCCTCCGCTTCCTCCTCATCCTCCTTCCGACGGCAACAGCGACGCTGACAGCGACGACGAGGCGTTGCTTCTCTTCCTGATCATTCCCCCTTGCGGTAATCTGGGACTTCAGACGGGCGAGGAGCGCTTGAAACACCTTTTTTCGCGCTGCGCCCAGCCGTTGCGACGAGAATCGACAGACACGCCCCAGGGAACCTCCAGGATGAAGGCGGCCCTCGTTCCTTCACCCGGCCCCCTCCCCTCGCGGTGATCCCCGACTTCCTGACGAGGGAGGAGTGCCACGTCCTGGTGGATGCCGCCGACCGCTGCGCCCGGAGCGGGCCCGGCGCTCGGCGCCGCCTCTGGACGGGGCCAGGACGTGGAGACATCCGTTCCAGCGCCTCTCGGAACGCCCTCGGAGCGCTCTGGAACGCTCCGAGTGGGGGCCGCGGCGCGCGAGACGTCCTCCAGCGCCGCCGGCTCTCAGAGCTCCTCGATGTGTCGTCACCCGATGTCATCCTCGTCCCGGCTTCCTCTCGGCCTTCGGCTGGGGCGCACTGCGCTCGCGCCGAGCCCCGTGGCTCCGAGGGGCTCGGTGCCTCCCGCCCGGGCCGCCCACCGGGGCGCGAAGACGACCACCGCGGCTCCGCGCTTCGCGTCGTGGGCCTGAGCTGCCGTCCTTCTCCAACGGGGGTGCAGCGCGAGGGCGCGAGGGCGCGAAGGCGATCTCCACCACACGCTCCAACGGCTCCCGCGTTCTGTTTCCTCCGTGGGCCAAGCTCGAATCGGCCACGCGGCCGGGACATCCCGTGGCATTCTACACGGGCTGTTCACAGCCTCTCATGCATGATTTTTACACGTGAGTGCTGTCCATGCAAGCGCATCGGCGCCCCCTTTTTCGCGCCTTCATGGCGTCACACGCGCGGAGCCGAGTCCGAGTCCTAGTCCGAGTCCGAGTCCGAGTCCGAGTCCGAGTCCTCGGGGGAGGGTGGTGGTGTATAAGTCACCATTGGGAGCCAACGACTTTACACACCGCCGCCCTCCCTGAAGGCACACGCATAATTAGTCGGAGGGTGTCTCTGTGTATGTCTTGTCGTGGCGTATGATCGCGCAGCGCGGGGCGCGATGCGCGAAGTTGGGCGGCCTAGGGTACGGCAGCGTCGCGCCGCGTCGACTTGGCGGCGACGCCGGCGCTGGCGTTCACGGCTGGAGGCTCCTGGCGTCCTGAACCAGGCCCAGCCTCGAGCGGGTTCCGCTGTCGGATATGGGAGGTGGCTCGGCATTGAACGGTTTACGCGGTGTCTTAAGCCAGTGCCCACGTCGACACGGCAGGAACCAGCGGTGTCCAGTAATTAATGCGTTGGCAGCGCGCAGGAAGGTGGCAGGAGAGTGCCAGAAGAGTGTCACTTTCGTGCGGTGGCAGTCGAGTGAGAGATCGAGGTTTCGTCCTGCAGCAGGAGCTTCAGTGGCATCCAAAAAGAGAGGGGAGAGGATTACAATCAACCCGCATAGTAAGGATTGGCAAGTTTCCCAAGGGTAACCTTGCATCCTTTCCTCCTCGGTCCATTCTTGGCCACTTTCGTTGGCTGCGCCCCACTCGAAAAGCTCGAAACAGCCTTCCAAGGCCCTTGCATCCTTATCGTGCATCCTCATTGTACCGTTCGACTGTATGGCGGGGGCGAATAGGCTGCAGGCTATAGCCCCGATCTATTCGAAGATCCTTACATGTGTTTTTTGTTTATCAGCAGGGTTGCTTAGGCTACCAAGCAGGAGCCAATACTCAGGATCGCGATCGTTTCGTTCCGTTCCGTTTCCCGTCCGCATCCTTCTACCTACCCCTTTCTCCTCTTTTTCCTCCTCCTTTTCCTCTTGCTGTTCCTCCTCCTCCTCCTCCCCCTCCAGCCCCTGGCGCGCACAGGGCCGCCGCGCGCACAGGGCCGCCCAGGCCCCCGCGCGCACAGGGCCGCCCCCGCCTGTCGGACGTCTTCCCCCAACCGCTCCCGAGCCACACATTTTATTCTCTCTTTTATTCTCTCACACACATTTAAGCCTGCCATCGTGTGGAACTCTCTCTTGAATTTTGTGTTGTAGAACCCTCTGCGTCTGATTTGCACGTGGAGGGCCGAGAATACT